CTCTATTGCTGTGACAAAACACTCTGAGCAATACCAACTTGGGGAGGAAAGGGTTTATTTGGCTTACATCTCCTGGTTCACAGTTCATCAGGAAGCCCAAGGTAGGAGCTCAGGGCAGGGACCTGAAGGCAGGAGCTGGAGCACAGGCCATGGAGGAACACTGTTTACTGACTTGCTCCTCTGGCGCAAGCTCAGCCTGATTTCTTATGCAACACAGGACAACCTGCCCAGGGGTGGCACCGCCAATAGTGGGCTGGGTACTCCCACATCACTCAACAATCAAGAAAGTGCCCCACATATATGCCCACAGGCCAGTCCAATGGAGGCAGTTCCCCAATTCTGGCTCCCAAGTTGACAACAAAAGCTATCCAGCACAGGGCTGGAAAATGGAGTCCAGGATTCTTTGTCTCACACATAGGTATGAGGAGAGAAGAGGGTCCAAGAAGTTATCCTCTGGCCTATGCACACACACACACACACACACACCCCATGCCATATGCATGACTACACAGACACATCATACACACTTACCATAACACATATACATGTGATAATAAATAAATGAATAATCCAGTAGTAATCATGCATGATATTTACCCTCCTGGTCCTTGTGATGCTGACAATTTAGGGAACATTATGTGAAGTCAAGCTTTCCAGTCACTGCTGTTAGTGTATAGTGTGAAACCAAAGAGCCTCATGCACATAAATGATCAATGTAAATTACAATATAACCTGTGATATGGTTATTGTATGAAGTGCTCAATCATACCTCTATATTCATACAAAATCTTAAAATTATTTCTATAAATAATTGGTGGGATCATGTGTTTTCACCTTTATTCTTTTATTTTTGGTCTCTTTGAGACAGGGTCTCTCTGTAGCCCCAGCTGACCTGGAACTCACTATGCAGACCAGCATTGCCTTGATCTTATAGAGATTCACCTGCCTCTGCCTATCAAGTACTGGGATTAAAGTTGTGTGCCACCACACATGGCCTTTCACTTTTCTTCTTATTAAAGAATAAAGATGAAAATTCTCATTCACCTTTATTTTTATTAAATCAATATCAATGGGATATATTAGTATATATTGTTCTCAAGTTTTGTTATGGTAAAACAAAGCCTGAAATAAACATCTAACATGTTGTAGCACCATACCAACCCAGGGAGGAAGCAGTGTGGGCAGAGTCAGGCAGAGAGGTTCTGAAAGAACCTGGGGCCCTAGTTTGACTATGTTTATGATCTGATTCCTTGGATGCTTCCATTAAAGAGCCATAGGTAAGACTTCCTGTTGCCAACAGTCTGAACAGGCTTGATGTTCACCTGACTGAACTTCTCTATTAAGTTGAAGAGCTCAGCTCAGCATTCTGGTTACCTTTCCTCTGCAACAAATGATCTATTTCAAGTCCTCAGTGAGTTATCTCAACATAAACCATCAAAAAGTTAGTATTTAGATTATTGGGCTGATGGCATCTGACTTCCAACCATCTCCAGATCTTTATACCTCATTTCTAGCCTTGAGAGTGCTCTTCTGGGGTCTGGTTATAAAGAAGCAAAAGACTTTGCTTATGCTGGGATACTTTCAAATGGATTCTACTCTTACAATAGTATTTGATCTTTTATAATGGGAAGAATTCAGAAGCCATCATCTTTCTCTCCATCCTTCCATTCCATTGTGGATACTGTTTCTGATCAAATGCCTTCATCTCAGGTCTACCTGTGTCCTGCATTCTGAATCCATCTGATTCCCAATCTCCTACTTCAAGATATAGTGCTGTTCCTGCATTTTGATTTGAATGAGAAAAATCTCCCCATAGCCTCCAAGTAGTTGAAGAACATTTTGTCCCCAGTTGGTGGTGCTGTTGTAGGAGGTCATGGAATCTTTAGATGTGGCCTTACTAGAGGAAGCATGCCACCGGGGGTGGGCTTCAAGAGTTCATAGCCTTGCTCCACTTCCAGTGTTTCTCTGCTTCCTGTGAGTGCTTGAATATGTGAACACTCAGCTTCCTGCTCCAGCCACCTCTGCCACCACGTCTCCCTACCATGATGAACTCTTAGGCCTCTGAAACTGTAAGCTCAATAAACTCTTCCTTCTATAAGTTGCCTTGGTTATGGTGTTTATTGCAGCAACAAAAAAGTAATTGATACACCCCCTATACACTCATACTTCCACCACCCCCAAACCTCCAATTTTATTTTTGAGTATGAAAATTGGTTGTCGTGGCTTATGGTTAGACTTTAAGCATTTCTGTCTTTATTTCCATCTAAATGTTCTATATTTTCATTTCAGCTACTTAGAAATGCCTCTGAGTTGGCATCTGAATGACACCTTATATTTCTTTGTAATGTATAAAAGTCATGAATTTAAAAATATTTTAATTATTTTCATTTTGTGAGTGTTTTGCCTACATGCATGTAAATGCACCATGTGCATGTACTGCCTGCGGAGGCCAGAAGAGGTCATTGAATACTCTAGAAATGAAGCAAAAGACCATTGTTAGTCACTATGTGGGTGCTGGGAACCAAATCCGGGTCCTCTGCAAGAGAAGCCAGTGCTCATAACTGCTGAGCCATTTCTCCAATGCCCCCAGAACCATAATTTTTAACTTTAATGTATAACATAGAAGCTAAGTTTGACTAGGAATGAATTTCTCACAAATGTCTTCATAATTGCTATTGAGCTCTACCTCTGACTTCCATCACTTTACTTTGTTCACATCTGTTCCTCTTTTACAGAGATGCCCATCCTCAGATTTAGGGTTTACATGGATTATTCAACATGGCTATTGTGCAGCCTTATCCTCCAAACCAAACAACCAGCATCTTCATGACTTAAGCTGTGCCTGCCTGTAAGTATCACAGCTGGGCTTGTTGACTATTGACATTCTCTCATAGGAGGACGTTCCCTCATTGGACTCTCACTTGAGTATCCAGCCACTCCTCCCTGTTATTTGTGTCCAATTTTTGCCTTAAGTGTATGTGCCTAGAGGTCTTACAGAGGGGCTGGAGTATTTAGACTGTGGTAGAGGACTAGGGAAAGGGGGCTTTATCCTCACAGCCATAGGAGAGTCATCATCCATGCTGGGTACAGACTTTCTAGTGTGGTTGCTTTAGGGTCACCCACACTCCTGTCCTTAACCCTTCACCTATTGCTCTTTAAGTAAGCCTAATAAACTCATTGGTTCCCCATGGCGAATTTTGGTGGAATTGAACTTCGGTTTGTCATCCAGGGAATGACAGTTCTCTCAATAATGGCCTCATCTCAACCTCTGTAAATTATATGCATCTGCAAAGGACTTTTTCCAAATTAAGTTCACATTTATGTGGTCCTTGGATTTGGACATGGGCCTATCATATGGGAGAGGGTTAAACACTCACTTAACAATATAGATGACAAAATCTGGCATTGATGAATGAAAATGATGGGTACTTTGGGGGTTTGTTGACTATTCTATTTTTATATTTGTTAGAAAATTTGTTAATGAACCTACTTATTGATTTGGCACTATGGACAGATTTTGCACTCATCTATAAGAACTTGATGCACACAAAAAGAAGGCTGTGCCTCTGGGAGTTCAAAGTCTATGAGAAAAATATATTAAATATGCAATGCCAAAATAATCCAAAAAATGCCATAAGTGAGAAAATGCAATCGTAGCTGAAGGGAGATGAGTCTAATCAGAGCACACAGCGTGTCCAAAGGCCCGTGTGCTGAGAAGGCGTCGTGGCTGACTTTGGTTGTCAACTTGACACACCTGGGAAGAGGAAACCTTGCCGGTGCCAGCCGGCCAAGACGGACAGTACCTGAAAGGGGGAGTGAGGATTGAAAGAAAAAACAAGAGACAGAGAAAAGATACTTGGGAGGACTATCAGTAGAGACTGCAGCCCCGGTTTATTTTAGCTCCGCCTTTTTATACAGAAGAACATCAGAGATAGCCACTGTTTGCTTAACTCAATTAATTTCAACAGCTGTTTTCCCCACCTGTATCTGAGGGTCAAGGAGCGGTCAAATACTTGTTGTGAGCTCCACCATATAAACACATTCCTCCTAACTTGGCAGATTGGGTACTGGTGTGCAAGATACAAAGTCTAAGTAAACAAGCAAGCCTGCCACAGCTCAATGTACATAATGGATTAATAGCTCCCAACAGAACCTCAACTGGGGAATTTCTTCTATTGGACTGGACTTGTGACCACTTCTGTGAGGCATTTTCTTCATTGCTTAGTGATGCTGGAGGGCCCAGTCCACTGTGGCTAGTGCCACCTCTGGGCAGGTGGTCCTGGGTTGTGTGACCAAGCAGACTGAGCACAGGCCAGAGGAGAAAGCCAGCAAGCAGAGTTCTGATATGGTCTGTGCTTCAGTTCCTGCCTCCAGATCCCTCCTCTGCTTGGGTTCCTGCCCTGCCTTAAGTTCCTGCCTTGTCTTCCCTGGGTGATAGAAGACCTAGGAGTCATGAGGTGGAATGGACCCATTACTCCCCAAGTTGTTTTTGGTTGGAGTATTTTATTACAACAATAAAAAAAACTAGGACAAAAGGTTAAACCCAGAACACCCAGGTTAGTGTGAATTTCTGAGAAAACATATCTTTATAGTCTACAATATTTGGGTCATACTTATAATAATTATTAGTAATTTATCTAAAATTCATACTTAGCTTGGTGTTCCACACCTTACCTGCTGACCCAGTAAGAGAAATGTTCAAGTGCCATGAGCTTGTTCTTTCCAGATACCATCTACCAGCTAAGCTAAAAAATAGAGATTTCCCACCTGCACTCATGAAAACCCCACAGTAAGTTTCTTGTAAAACCTCATCATTGATTCACATGGAGTTAAGTCTACCTGAAATGTTTTCTTAAACTTTCCATTTGCAACCTTGGAAAAGAACATATGAATTAGTCATTTGCAAGGTGAGGATGACTTGCATTTTCCTTGTAATCTTTCATGGAGACTTTTGGCCTCTATATACTGTGGGAACAGCTCTTCCCTTATTGGATCACTTTCCCTTAACTAGGGAGGGTTTATTCAAATTGGTAAATAGCTTATAAAAATCAGGAACTGATATGTGCTGTGGAGCTTCGAGAGAACAGCTTTTAAAAAGGTAAGTACTGACTGGATCATTTTTTCTATATTTTCTCATACTCCTATAAGAATGTAGAAAATACTTTTTAAAAGTGTCCATAGCTCAAGAAAAAGTCTGTTTTGTAGTCACATAATACAGCCTTGTGTGCTCTCTTGACAGTCCAAAAAATGTTTATTTCATTTCTGTTGGATACACAGTTAGAGAAATGCAGAAATGAAGATTTGGAATGGCAGAGCATGAAAGTTTAAAGGTAAAAGACAAATTAACTTCATTAAGAAGAAAAATGGTAACAGTTCAGGCAACTGGAATTGACCATGAAGAGAAATGTGGGACTTAGGCTGAAGTTGTTTTCTCTACGGAAGAATCCAACATGCAATATGAATTGTGACACTGAGGAATTCAGGGAAATTAAAGGGACTAGGAAGGAAAGGAATGCCCCCCTTTGCTGGCTGAGGTTCAAGATTATGAACTGTTTTGTAGTAAAAACCTGTCTTTACCTTGATCTTTTTACCTCTATTTTTATCTTACAAATCTATTATGGACAAATACTAAAACCTCATAAACGACATACAGTCTCATTTACTAAGAGGAAACTCTTCAGACAAAAGCAGCTATGCCAGAACATTTTACTTAACGTTTAAACCGTTTGGATTATATGACTTCAAAATCTAACAAAATTATACACATGTAACTATTGTTAAGAAACTTAACTCTCTTTATCTCTCTCTCTCTCTCGAAAAGCCCATACATAGAGGTGGGCACAACTCTCTTTTAAGAAAAAAATATTAATGTATGCTCACTGTACAAAGTAATGGAATTTACAAAGATATTTTCAGTCAAGTATATAGTTGTGTTCTGACCATATTTATCCCCATTACCCTCTCCTGCCCTCTCCCCCTCTGCTAGTCTCTCTCTCTCTCTCTCTCTCTCTCACACACACACACACACACACCCCTAGATTCAATATGTGGGAGCACACAACAGTTGTCCTTCTTACTCCAGTTTCTTCCACTTAATATGAAGCTCTTCTGTTCCAACCATTTTCCTCCAAATGTCATAATTTTGTTCTTTTTATGGCTGGGTGAAACTCCTTTTGTATATATGCCACATTTTATTTATTCATTATCTGTTAATGGACATCAAGGCTGGTTCCATTTCTTGGCTAATAAAAATAGTGCTACAGTAAATATGGATGTGCAGTTAGCTCTGTGGTATGCTGACTTAGATTCTCTCTCTCTCTCTCTCTCTCTCTCTCTCTCTCTCTGCTCATGATTAAATTTATATGAAAACCTTTTCTTTTTCTTTAGACAGTGACTATTTTATTTTGATTTTTTATTTGTTGAAAACTTCATAGATCCATACACTGTACCTTGGTCTTATCCACCCCTCACTTCCTTCTAACTACTCCCAGCCCCACCCCCAGCACATCTCCCTCCCAACTTCATGTCCTCTCTCTTTGAGTCCAGTTAGTGCTCCCCATAGGCACATGAATGTGGGATCATCTATTGGGACAGGAGCAACCTACCAATGACTATCTCCCACAAGGAAAAGTAACTCTCCCTCAGCAGCCATCAACTGCCAATAACTACTCTTCAGCTCGGTGTGGAACACAGGGTCTCCCCAGGCTGAAATTTTAGCTGGCTTGATCTTGTGCAGGTAACCACAGCTGCTGTGATCATTTGTGTCACAGCCATGTCTTACTGGAGAGCAGCATTGCACAGCACTCCTCCCCATCTTCAGCTCTTACATTCTTTCTACCCCTTCTTCTACCATGGTCCCTGAGCCTTGAAGGGAGAACCTTTTCTTAATGAACTCCAACTTTCCTTTATGATGACGTGTCCTAAAATCTTTTCTGTGGTGTATGTCAAGAATTCTAGCTTACACTGAGTAGAGATCTCTCAGGAAAACTCAAGTGGCTCCAGCCAGCAGCATCGAGCTATGTCTTCCACTGCAAGTAACACTGTGAAGGCTATGACAATTCAAAAGTGAGATTTATTGCTACATAAATTGAGAGGAAACCCTGACTTCTTCCACATAAGGGTGTCACGTTTTGCATGTATGTTGTTCTTCTCATGCTTTGCCTGAGAATGTTGTCCAGAGGCTCCAAGTATCTGAACATTTGGTCAGTTGTTGGCACTGTTTGGAAGTCATGGAATCCCTAGGAGGTGTGGCCTTGCTGGAGGAAACACGACACTGGGGGTGGGCTTTGAGAGGCCAGAGCCCTGTCCCATTTCCAGTTTCACTCTCTTTACCTCCTGTTCCTACTTGAGGATGCGAGCATTCAGCATTCTGCTCTGGCTACCCTTGCCCCTGTGCCTCCCTGCCTTGATGGACTTGTATCCCTCCATAGCCCAATAAACTCTTCCTTTTATGAGTTGGCTTGCCCATGGTGTTTATCATAACACCTGAGAAATTAACCAGTACCATTCCCTACCCTCAGGCTGTGAGAGCCAAATATGTCTCTCCAACTTTAGCTGTGCGGAAGTGGCATCAGTCCTGGCTGCCAGAAGTTTGAATGGGAGAGACAGACAGCTCTGGAATATATGACTATGTTTTAAAAAGGGCACTAACAGTTAGCTAGAATGCACAGGTTGTTAGAATGTTAAAGTCAACAATGCCCTCTAACAAACGTTAACAGTGGAAAAGGAGAGTTGCTATAAAAGAGAGATTGTGAGATTCTCTGAAAATCCAGGTGTTAAAGTAGCAAGGATCTAAAACTATGGAAAAGAATAAATAGAAATTGTAGAAAAACAAGGTGACAAAATGATGCACAGACTAATGTTTAGTGAGCTGTGGTCTTAATTTGAAGGGGAACACAGCAGACATCTGAAAGTTACAAAATCTATCCCACCTGGAGACTGAGATGCAAATCTGGCAGGTGGTGCCCTCCTGTGCAGAAGGGATAGGGTTCTGCATCTCTCAGCTGACTAGCCTCCTCCCAGGGCTCTCACTTGCTTGGGTACCTGAATCAGGATTCATGGGTTGCATATTCCTAGAAATGCACAAGGTGAAGTTCCTGCTGGGTACATTCTACTCTGTCAGGTGTCTATAAAGCTGTGGTATGACTACCTTTAACCCTGCAAGAACCAAATCAGACAATAACCATTGCCAGATATAGTGTAACTGTACCAGATGGAATGACTGACGTGTCCAGACATACAGTAATCTTTCAGGAAGTGGAGCAATGGTGATCATGATTTTATTATGTCCAGATAATGAATATTATACCCCTTAATTCATTGCATTCCTCAAGCCTTTAGAAGTAGATGTTACTATCTCTGTAGTCAGAAGAGAAAACTGAATGCTCGGGCGTGGTGGTGTATGCCTTTAGTCCCAGCACTTGGGAGGCAGAGGCAGGTGGATCTCTGTGAATTCAAGGCTAGCCTGGTCTACATAGTGAATTCTAAGAAGTCAGCTGGGGCTGCAGGGAGACCCTCTTTCAAAAATGACAAGAAGGAGGAGAAGAAGAAGAAGAAGCACATTTATCTCTAAATGGAAGGACTTATCTATAAGACTTCCTTATAGCTTTTAAGGGTGTATTACTCTTGCCCTATTGTTAGGAGTTTTTGGAGATAACTTTCTTTAATTTACTACTGAAATTGTTATAGATTTTGTTCTTTTTAAAAACAAGCCCATTCTATCTTCTTCATGTTTTTTGTTTGATAGCTTGTTTTTCATTTCTTGTTGTTTGAGATAGTATCTTGGTATGTAGCCCACACTGGTCACATCCTTTTGATCCTCCTACCACCATGTTCAGCAAGAAAATATAGTTGTGAAGCAAATATAGTTACTTTACTCTTCAGTAAAACCCTGAGTTTTTTAAGTTTTCAAGGTTGAGAAAAGAACACTTTTATCAATTTTTTTCTTCATGAATTAGAGGCACCCTCATTCCCTCTTTCAACCTGTAGTTTGCTGGAGGACTCTGACTGGGAAAACAGCAGTTTAAAACTCAGGGAGAGCTCCTGGGAAGTGGAGCCCTCACCTGAAACCAGGCAGAGGTCAAGTACCTTATACTCAGTGTGAGGGTGGAGTGGGGACATATTGTTTCTCCCTGAGCCTCATATAATCATCTGTAGGTCGGTAGTGATTAGAGTGAAAGATTGCATTGAGAGCCATTTAAATCAGCCAGTCTCTCTTGGTCTTTTTTTCTGTTGATTCATGTGCTAATCTTGAGCTGACACTGGAAGGCTTAATTTGGAAACTGGAGAAAGCGACAGTGAAGAGCGTCATAGTAAAATAGTGTGTAGGGTGAAAAATGTGTTTCCCTTTGTAACATGACCCTCTATCAATGGCTAATGGAATTAGTGAGCAGATTGGAATCCCTTGTCTCTGCATCCCTAATGACTAAACATTTCCGGTAGTGTGAACTTTATTCTGCCTTTCCTCCTTTCAACTAAATCATGTCACCCCAAACCCCCAGTAAGAAGGTGTGTATGCTCATTCTACAATTCTCAGAATGATGAGTTGATTAAGTTTGTTTCCAATGGATTTTATATCTCATAAATTTTAGGACTTCTGAGCTCCACATTTAAAGGGCAGCTATTAAGGACATTTTGATGTTTTAAATTGAAGTCACACATAATTTTTTGAATTTGGGAATACATCTTTTGGTAAAGACAAAGATATTGTTTCAAATTCAACAACAACAAAAACTTTGTGAGAAGAAATGTAATGTTTTATATTACGATTACGTCTTTGAAATCGTACGGGGAAAATGTAACAGTTTGTCCCCAAGGGCCAGCATTGGGCCTCTGCTTTCAGTGACTCCTGAGCATTTGTTTACACTCCTGAGCTTCCTGGTCCTATCCATCCCAGGAGACGTTGCTTTCCGTTCTCTGATTCCTTGCTGTGTTCTACCTCCAAGCAGTCTGGGATTGAGCAAGAGCTGTCACACTTCTTTAAAGGACCCAACCAATATCTATTTTCGAGAACCAATGAGCACATACACATATGCACGCATCTGTACAAAGCACATGCCCAAACTGAATAAAAAAGCACATCAAACATCACTTAACTTTCCTCTACTTGGATACTTCCTATCCTTTTCACTTCTCCTGTAAAAATAGTGGCTTTCAACCAGGTGGGGTGACACATGCCTTTAAGCTCAGCACTCTGGGCACAGAGATAGGTGGATCTCTGAAATCAAGGCCAACCTGGTCTACCTAGTGAGTTTCAGGCTAGGGAAATCCTACCTCCAAAATAGTGGATTTCAGAACCCACCTAGAGACTGAAAAAGAATAACAAGGAAAATGAAGCCTAGACTTTGGTTCTGAGTAGAAGAGTGAATACTGGAACAGCACTGCATTTTGGGGAAATTACTCTAGAAACATCTGTGCCTCCAATGGAATATTGAAAATAGTAAAAGAAATCCCATTAGGGTTTTTTTTTTTTTTTTTTTTTTTTAGGTAAAAAGTCAGGATAAAATGAAGATGAACTTGTAAGAATACCAGTGTATGGCAGACATGAAACAACACTTGTCTGTGTCCTATGTCTTATCTTCTGTAAAGTGAATCCAGCAACACCTGTTTTGCTTAATTTCACATTAAAACACAGCAGCAGAGATAGAAGATAGCATTCCACAGAAGCAGGGAATTAGCATCTGAATACTGAAAGAATTTGGCTCTTTTTAACTGCAGTTGAATTATTCTTGACATACTCTGTCCATGCAGGAAAATGGATCTTTTGGGCATAGAGTAGAGCAATTCTTGAAGCCTAATTTCTGCTTTTGATCAAATGGACTTACCGTCAAGTGGTTGAATGGTGGCTGCTGCCTTGATGAATGCTGTCAGTGACATCCTCTGGGTTCAAAGCACTGAGTTCCAGGGTCTTCATTCTGTCTTTATTCCTCCTTGTATTTCTTGAAGGCCTTCATTAACTTCAATGTGATTATGAACACATTTCCTTAACTGGAAGATGGAGATAGCAGCCACCATGTCACGGAGCTATGATGAATATTAGAGATGATGTATCAAAAGAGTTGAGGGTTGGAGATGTAGCCTAGTGGTACAGAGCTTGCCTAGCTTGTGCACAGCCCTTGGTTAGACATTTACCCAGAGGAGGAGGAGGAGAGAGTAAGTAAGGGAGCGAGAGAGTGTGGAGGAGAGACTTGTAATGCGGTTTGCAATTCAAACCATTAAGAAGTTTGCAATAAATTTCAGATCTCTAGTTCTTTGTTTCCCTATTACATCGATACATTCATTATTATCATTCACTCTGACCTATGATTATGATTTAAAAAAAAAACAGTTTAACCAATGAGACTGGTTTGGTGCAATCTAAGCATCCCTATTGATAGGCAATAGTTTGGACCAATGAGTATATTCCAGGAGCATCTCCAGTGCTGCCATGAGGAAGTTGATTACTTCAGTGAAGCTACACCATCCAACCAGCCCCTGTAAAACAGATTTTTGATCTCTCTCTCTCTCTCTCTCTCTCTCTCTCTCTCTCTCTCTCTCATGCTTAGAAAAACCAAGAACTTGCTACCATGTCGGGGAAGCCAATCCTTCACTACTTTGATGGACGGGGCAGAATGGAGCCCATCCGGTGGCTCCTGGCTGCAGCTGGAGTAGAGGTATGCTTTGAGTTGGGTCATTTTCAGTTGGGCCTGCAATTGATTGTATCAAATACTTTTCTCCCATGAGCCATGTGATGTGACTTCCTGAATGGACTAAAGTAAAAATTAGTAATTATTAAGTGATTCACAGACTTAGCCTCATAAATTATCATTTTCATTGCAGAACATCAACATTAAAATAAATGTAAGAAATTTATCAAAATCAGTAGGACTTTACTTGGATTTTCATTTAAACAAGCAGTAAAAAAATATTATGTCACTTAGATTAAACAGAAACATGAACATTTAAAATTTGATGATATTAAATTATTTTAATGTTTTGATGTGATCATATATTCTAATTATTTTTATCAAAGGTAACATGTTTTATTATAAAATATTTTATTGATTATTTTATGTGTATGAGTGTATTGCCTGCATGGATGTAAGTGTACCCATGTTGGGAAATCCCTGTGGAGGTCAAAGTGAGCATCAGATTTCCCTGGACCTGGAGGTACAGACAGTTGTTAGCAGCCATGTGTATGCTGGGAATTGAACCCGGGTCCTCTACATGAGCATCCAGTCCCCTTGTCTTTTGAGTCATCTCTCCAGCCCCTGTATGTTTTATTTGTATTTATTTTTTGTGTATATGAGCATGTGTGTGCATGCATATGCACATATTTCTCTGTGTGCAGGTGCATATGTGTGTAGGTGCATGTGTGTATGTGAGGCCATAGGACAATCTTGTGTGTTGTTCCTCAGCTACCTTTTTTTTTTTTGGTCTTTTTTAGACAGGGTCTCCCTGTAGCCCCAGCTGTCCTGGAACTCACTATGTAGACCAGGCTGGCCTCAAACTCATAAAGATCCATCTGCCTCTGCCTCCCAAGTGCTAAAGACAGGTCTTTCACTGCCTTGGAGCTCACCAAGTAGGCAGGCTGGTTGGCCAGTGAGTCTCAAGCAACCACCTATCTCTGACTCTTCAGCTCTGGGATTATAAGTGTGCACTGCCACACCCAGCTTTTGGACATAGGATCTAGAAATAGAACTCAGGTCCTCACACTTGCACAGTAAACACTTTTCCCACTAGGCCATCTCCCCAGCCAAGTTTCTATGTTTTAGTAAAACAAATTTAACTATTAAAGGCTGAAAGGGAAGCAGGGGAGATGGGGATGAGGCAATGGGAAATGGAGATGAATAAGAATTAATGACATTTAATGGTATATATGTATATATAAAAATGTCAATGAAACAAACCACTTTATATGTTAGCTTAAAAAATAATAAACAGGGGCTGGAGAGATGGATCAGCAGAGCACTGACTGCTCTTGCAGAGAACCTGAGTTCAATTCCCAGCACCCACATGGTGGCTTCCAACTGTCCTTAACTCCAGTCCCAGGGGAATCCAAAGCTCTCTTCTGACCTCCGTGGCATTGCACGACACAGGTGCACTCACATACATGCAGACCATACACTCATACACATAAAATAAAAATAGTAAAATATTAAAAAATAATAAACATAAAATTAATAAATAAAACCCACACATAACCATCTTTTGCCTCACAAAAAGAGTTGAAAAGGTCATGTACTCCTTAACAATGAGGATCTGTCTTTAGATAGTTCAGTTATATAAATATTCTGGAGGGGCTGGAGAGATGGCTCAGCAATTAAGAACACTGACTGCTCTTACAGAGAACCGGGGTTCAATTCCAAGCACCCACTTGGTGGCTAACAACCATCTGTGACTCCAGTTTCTGAGGAATCCAGTGCCCTCTTCTGACCTCCACAGGCACTGCATGACATGGGTGCACTTACATCCATGCAAGCAAAACTCTCATAAAATAAAAATAATAAAATATTTTTAAAAATCCTAGTGTATACCTATATAAACACAAGGGGTATAATATAATATGTACTCAGTCTATGTGGCACAGCATATTGTTTCTAGACCAGAAATCTGTAAGACTGTTACTGTACTGAATATTATAGGTAATTGTAACATGATAAACACTTATGTAGCTAAATGTAGAAAAAGCATTACACTTACATAAGACACTTACCATGCATTGTGCTTAACAGACTAGAAATTGCTCTGAGTGAATCAAAGAGTATGGAGTGAGTGAATATGAAAACTTTGGTATTGCTACATGCTACAGCTTGGTTCTGAAATGTCTTCTGAAGGGCCATGAATTCAAGGCTTCATCCCCAACCTGTGGCTGTACTGGGAGGTGGTGGAACCTTTAAGAGGTTGGTCCTGGTTGGAGGAACTTATGCCATTGGGATGCCTGCTCTTAAAAGGTATTCTGGGACTCTACCCACTTTCTCTACTTCCAGCAGCCATGTGGTGACAGTGGCTCCACCAGCTGCTTCCTGCCTTCCTGTTCTATCTTGCCACGGGTCCAAAAGCCATGGGGCCAAGTGAGCAAGGACTGAACCTCTGAAATCATGAGCCAGAACAAACCTTTTCCTTTTATAAATGTTGGTTTTTTTTTTTTTTTTTAAGTTTTTGACTCTTCTGTCATGGCAACAAGACAAAGCTCACATTGTGCAGCTGAATAAAATATTCCCTTTATGCCTTTATTCTGTAAGATTTGCCTATTTGTAATTTTTTCATCATTTTCCTGCAATTTCTTTTGTTGAAACATAAGATACAGACACACACATTAGCCTCTGCCTACATGGGGCAGGATCATTAGTGTTACTGGCTTCCTCCTCCATAGCTTCTCTCATTAGAAAGTCTTAGGGGTGGGGACACACATGAGTCTGCTGTTTCCTATGAGAACAGTTCCTCCTTCTGGAACCTTCTCAGGGGTCAGCCTGAGGCTCATCTGAGGAAATGTCCTGCTACTTGTGACTTTGCTTGGTAGACAATGGAGTGTAACATTCCTCTTTATAAATGAAAACTTCTCCATGTTGAGGTCTATGCTTTCAACTTTTTCAGGAACTCTTTGAGGTCTGAAGTCTTTCCTAAATCATTCACTGTGAATTTTCCTGAATTCCCCACTGCAGTCTCCTCTCTTCCTGCCTCTTACATAGATATACAATCATTACACAATAGGAATTCTGCAATTTTACTGTAATCTCCTGGGACTAGCTTTGCATAAGCAGTCTGTGGTCAACCAAAACATTGTTATATGGGGTATGAGTGTCCATGACAGATGAAATTTCCTTCAAGTTATTAAAAAAGAAGGGCAATGGATGGGCAGAGAGATGAAAGCCTTTAATTGATCAAGATATTCAAGGTAGGTGAGGGATACCGGAGGAACTTTCCAATTTTCTGTTTACTTTTATATATGCCAGACATTTCAATACTAAAAAGATTATAGTGTGCATATATAGAAATGAAGGCAATTACAATGAAAATACATGCCATAGTGGTTGGAGAGCTGGCTCAGGGGTTAAGAGCACTGGCTGCTTACAGAGGACCCAATTTCAGTTCCCATTACACATATGGTGGCTAACAACCATCTGTAACTCCAGTTCCAGGGGATCTTATTTCCTTTTCTGGTCTCCATGGGCATTGCATACATGGGTGAGCTTACATATATGCAGGCAAAATTCATAGGCATAAAATAAAATAATCAAAAAATCCAGTTAAAAAAAGAAAATACACACCACAGTTGAGGGGTGGATAACAAACTTCTTGTTAATCATCAAGCACATTCGTCTATATTTTCTAACACAGTCTCTTGGCTGGGTCCTGGTTTGCAGGACAATGAAGATCAGAGTGCTTGCCTTGAGCAGCTGATTCATCTTTACTACTTTAAATTATCTTTTAAACCCAAAAGGATAGCAGATAGCAGATAGCACTCATCTTTCAAAATCCTAGTGATTTCTTGTGTTTACTGAGCACTTAATAGATAACTGGTGATTTCTTTTTAAAAATATTTTATTTATTATTTTTATTTTATGTGTATACGTGTATTGCCTGCATGTAGGTAAGTACACCCGTGTCATGCAGTGCCCGCAGAGGAGCAGAAGAGGCTGTTGGATCCCCTGGAACTGGAGTTACGGACAGTTGTTAGCTGCCATGTGGGTGCTGGGATTCGAACCAGGTCTTCTGAAAGAATAACCAGTGTTCTTAACTGCTGAGCCATCTCTCCAGCCCCGTAACTGGTGATTTCTGTAAGTGGTTTGCATGTCTTAGTGATTTACTCTTGAAATCAACCCAAACAGGCATTGCAAAAGATACCCATTGTATGGATTAGGACACTGACATACAAGAAGACTCAGTAACATTTCCAGTGTAAAGAAGCTGAAACATGAAAAAAAGCTCACATTGACCCATACAATCATTCAGACAACAAAGATTTGGGTGTCAAAAAATAGTGTAGGGACATTAATTCCTTCTCAAATAAGGAATCCTATACAAGCGTGCCCATATTTTCTAGGATAGGCAATTTTACTTGTAAGTGTAAAAATATGTAAGCTGGATCTGCTTCACCCACAGCAGGGTCCTGAGGAGAGAAGTGACTTAAACTGCAGCCGAAGCCTATTGGTGGCAGAACATTAAGCAGTCATATTCCATGCTGGAAACACACAGTACTCTTTCTAATCTCACACGAACATGAGCTTTCCTGGGATATTACAAATCCACAGCTAGAAGAATGATCATCCTTTCCCTTCTAACGGCTTGAAGTGAACCATAAGAACAAGTGGCTCTGTGTTGTGACCCAGCACCTTTCTTCCTAAATCTGCTGTAGCTCTCCTGTGTACCTGCCGAGCTGAAAAAGCTTACCTCCGTATTATGTACAGACAGAGTCACTAAAGTGAAAAGCCTGAAACGCAATGGAATTAGTTCATAAGGACTCACTTTCTATTTCTGTTTTCTAGTTTGAAGAAAAATTTATGAAAACTCGAGAGGACTTGCAAAAGTTAAGAAATGGTAAGAACAAATATCTGTTTCTAAAACAGTTCCTCTTAGAGGCTTAAACATTAGACAGTATCTGTGTAATTGTAATGTTCGTTGGGGATGGTAGAAAGTAAAGGATGGTAATTGTAAGGCACAGGTCTCCTTGAGCAGGGATAGTAAATATCTCAGAATTTGCTGAGAAACCACCCCTAGGGCCCCGTGAATGGTCTGTCCCTACTTTGCATGCTTTCTGCATTTAGCTGCACTTAGCTGAGGTTCCCACAGTCCCTCCACCCAACTACACACAGGGACGCTCATCAGATACCAGGAGTGTCCTCCATTCAAGTACACACAGGCACACTCATCAGACATCAGGATGAATCATCCATGCAAGTACACACAGGGATACACATCAGATATTAGGAACAGAGAAAAGTTTAGCACTTATCAAGTTCCCACAGGCTTTACAAACTGATTCCCCAGTAATACTTATTATGGAATTAACAAAGATCATTCTGGTTATTTAGAATTCTAAGTGAGAGAGGTGGGGATTAACAAAGAAGGTCAAGGCCAGCACCTGTGGGTCAATGTCACAAGGTCTACCTTGTATATGTCCCTTGATGTCAGTTGAAAAAGCACACCAAAACCCTTCATAGAAACAGGTCTGTGAACTGGACTTGATGTCATGAACACCGTGAGATTTGGGGATTTTTGTTGTTGTTGAATGACATCAGCTGGCTACTCTACTGTACCTCCTTCAACCTATTCCTAAAATACACATGAAGATGAGTTAAACACTCAAATGCATCTGAGCACAAAACCAGGGCCAATATATCTGGCTAGGAAATAAAAACATAAAACAATAGGTTGAAACTTAAAGAAGACACAAAATATGCAGAAAGCAATTTTCTTTTTTAGTCTTTTTGGGACAGGGTGCTGTCTTTGAATTCAGAGAGACCACCTGCTTCTGCTTCCCTAGTGCTGGGATTAAAGGTGTACACCACCATACCTGGCCTACAAAATTCTTTTTAAAATATTTTATTTAAAAAAATTTTATCTATTTATTTTATTTTTTTTCAGTTGGGGAATAGGAAAAACTTATGTTTATTTTTATGTAAAACAATCAAAGAAAGTAAGCTTTACTAATATGCCATTCAACACTTGTATATGCTTTATAAATAAATATACATTTAATGTGTATGCATTTTAGGAAATCCCATAAAAGCTTTAAAAAATTTCCTCCTTATATTTTTTTACATGAAACACTTGGCTTTAAAACTTTTTTAAAGTAGTAAACCACAGACCCAATAATACCTTGGATCTTTGAACTTGTTTGTTTTTTGTTGTTACACATAGTTTTCTTCCTGAAAATTTTCATTTTTCATGTATACGACATCAAGTAAGTGCACTCCAGTTGTGGGTGTCTGGAGCTGGCTGTCAGAACTTCTGCAGATCTGGGCCACGTGTGTTCTCAAGCTCTTGGGCCTGGACGGCCTGTTTCCCTCTGACAACGCTGCTGGAGCCTCGAATGCTGCAGCAGTGACCGCCTATTAATGTTACATCTGTTTTGAAGACTTGGTCTATTATACTCCTTTCATTTCCTTTAAGTTTTTTTTTTTCTGTTTTGCCTAATTACTGCATTAAAACACACAGACATTTGAAATTTCCTCTTTGAGTGCAGTGGTTTAACTGAGCTGAAAAGCAGCAACTTGTCAAATCTTAGTTTTGGCAGGAGGTTCCTATTTTGTGGGCATTTTTTTTTTTTTTCTTTCGTGGTGGAGGGGACATGGTTTAGTGTTCAAGGTAAGACAAAATTGCTTTGAGTCAAGAGGGGTCTTCTCTTGTCACTTCCTCTGCCCTGGTACTTTGTCACTGTTGCTCTGCTAACTTCTGTTTATGTTTTAGGGACCTTTTAAGCCCATTTAAAGTAAAACATGTATTAATTATCAAAAAGATAACAGCAGTGAGTTGGGGATCCAGCACAGACAGTAAATTCATTGCCATGAAACAGGTAGACTGGAGGTTGATCCCCAACACCCGTGTAAAAAAACAGATAAGGTGGTGTGCACGTGTAATCCCAGCCCTAGGGAGGTGGAGGCAAGTGGGTTCACAGGGCTTGCTGGACAGACAGCCTACTCTAATACAGGAGACCCAGGTCACAGTGAAAAAGCCTGTCTTTTTTATTTTTTTTATTATTTTCATTTTGTGTATATGAACATATTGCCTGCATGTAGACAGATGCACCCTTGCATACACGTGTCTATGTACATATGTGCACATATACATACAACATGTGCACACACAAGATAGCAGTGATATGCTCACAGTGTTGGCATTTTTCTACCTTTTCTACCCTTGTAACTTAATATTTCCTGCTATTATAGCTTTATTAGTTTTTCTTTGAAGAAGAAAACTGTATGTTTGAATCTTTAATTTTTCCTTTCTTAATTTAAAAATAATTGATGAACAGATGCTGCATTCTAGGCATTGGGCTAAGGCATGCAACATGAATTAATCATTAAAATACACCCAAGCTTTGTCTTTTACAGATCTGGTAGTCTATTAGGCAATTTAGATAATAAAGTGATTACTTTTAAGTAAGTGCACCTGTGTTGTGCAATGCCCACAGAGGCCAGAAGAGGGCATCAGATCTCATGGAACACTGGAGTTATGGATGTTGTTAGCCATCATATGGGTGCTGGAAACCCAGGTCCTCTGCAAGAGGAGCAGTGCTCTTACCTGCTGAGCTATCTCTCTAGCCCTGCAAAATTCTTCTAAATGCTATTTTATTAAAAAGTTCCCATGCAATTAGTTGTTTTTCCTTTTTAAAGCCAATAAATCCATCAAGTTTTTGTCTTTAATATGTTTGATCATAGACATTTTACTGTCCTTTTTCTTTGTTTCTTCCAAAAGATGGGGATCTGATGTTCCAGCAAGTTCCCATGGTGGAGATTGATGGAATGAAGCTTGTGCAGACCGGAGCCATTCTGAGCTACATTGCCTCCAAATATAACCTCTATGGGAAGGACATGAAGGAGAGAGCCCTGTATGGTATAGTTTATATCCTTTTAGGAAAGATTTAGATCCAAGATTACGTGTACAAACCTTGAAAGGGGAATCCTGACCAAAAGCAGGCTGAGATTTGGGCACTGATACTTTGGCATCAGTCTGGAGGAGTCCTGTGGAAATGAGGGAAGCTGATGGTTTGTGGGGGTTGCAAAATATTAGAGAGTACAGTACAGTTCATGAATTTAGCACAGTGGAAGAGGTTATGAACACTAAGGAATTATGAATTCAGGAGATAAAGGAATACTCTTTCCATTTGCTTAGTCTTCTGAGGCAAGACTCTAGCCAATAACATTGGACAAGGGGAAGTATTTGAGTGTCAGAAAAGAGGAGACTCCAAAGGAGATGGTTCTTAAGTTTTAACTGTTAGAATAGGTAGCCAAGACCCTAAGCCACAATCTAATTCTATGTAAAGTCAAATTAATGGTGGTTCATAGAGTCTGCTGCCAAGATACAAGGGTTACATGAAGCATTTCGTGGGGAACTAAAAGAAGCCAGACTGATTCAGAGCTGCCAAGGCTGTGGGTGAGATCACCCCCCTCTTGTGATGAGCTATTTGATAAAAAATAAAATCTTCTGTGTAACTGTGCATTATTTCTTGAAAAGTTAAACATCAGGTTACCAACAACTAGCAGTTCAACTACTAGGTAGATGCACAAGAAAATGAAAATATATCCTCAGTAATAATTGTACAGAAATGTTTGCAGCTTTGTTATTTATAACATCCAAAAGACAAGAATGAACAACAGAGAATGGATGGAGAGAATACTACATGGTTGTATCTTGGTATAATGTTTGCTACCCCTTGAGTCATTCAAATAAGAGATGTTAATTTGTAAACAAGATCAGATGATTTTTATTGGTTCAATAGGCTACTGTAGAGGTGAATTATTTTGCTGCCACCTGATGCTCCTTTAAGTTTTTTAACCATAAACTCTGAGATAAGATGCTTGTTTGTTTTTCAGCATTGATATGTATACAGAAGGTATAGCAGATCTGAATGAAATAGTTTTGATTTACCCGTTCCTTCCATCTGAGAAGAAAGAGGCAAGCCTTTCCAACATCAAAGACAAAGCAAGGAACCGTTATTTTCCTGCCTTTGAAAAGGTAAGTGGAAGCTATTTCTTGTTCAAGAGAAATACAAATTTAGAGGGTGTGTTAGTCCTAAGAGGTCTTCTGAGCAGTTAGTCATTGCTACAATACAAATACCAAGGAGTGTGTGTGTTAAACTGCAGATGTTCATTGCTGATAGTTCTGGAGCCTGGGAAAAGCAACACCAAGACTGATGTCTGGCAAGACTTGCTCCATGGTTCATAGATGCCCAACTTCTAGCTGTGTCTTCAATGGATGATGGGGCAAGGGAGCACTCCCAGAGCCCCATGGTTGGGAAGAGGAATGCCGTTTGTGAAAGCTTAACTTTCAGGGTTCAATCAGCTCTTGAAGATTCTACTCACTAACAGCATTATGCTAGGGGTTTAGGTCTCACCATGTTAATCTGGGAGGAACACAAATATTCCACAACAGAGTCAGGAGAAAATAAAAAGAATACCTAGGTATTCTTGGGGTGTTGACCTTCACTTCCAAAATGGACTTCATTGATATTTATTTAGCACCTCAAAACTCAAGGCACTGTATAAAGTTACAATGCAAAGAAACATTGAGATAGTTATATCAAATACATTTTTTCAGAGTTTTGTTTTGCTGTGACGCAACCTAGAGTTTTCTGAAAGAATTACATAGTCATAATTAGAACTTGGGGTATGTAAACCTCTGATCCATACTAGAGAATGGATTAGATTTAACTGAATACTATAATCTTGTAACTCAAGGGCATAAAAATGAAAATAGATCAGAAAATACTCTTTCCCCAAATATAGAGAGGCCTGATGTTAGGTACTCATCATGAGAGTATTGTATTGTTTCAGGATGGTTTCAGAGAATCTATACAAGGTTGGCAGAGGGATGGAGAAAAAGAGATAGGTGAAGAAATGTGAAGAAAAAAATCTCTAGAACTAGCAACATTGCTCTCAGAGTTTTGAGGAAAGTTGCACAAAAATAAGAAAATGGAGATCTATCTTGACATAAATATGTCTACACACACACACACACACACACACACACACACATCCATTACTAACACTTCCATTTAAAAACAAAAAAGCAATATTTAGGATCAAATCTACCTGAGATCAAACAATAAAAAGGAACAAACTCAAACATATAAATGTCACAGGATACTTAGAAATAATGATTTAACTTCTTACTTGGCATTAGATTGTTCTTTCTTTCAGTAATGACTATTACTTCATGGCTTGTATGTCAGACTGAAGGAAAGCAGAGAAGAACCTAGCTGTTCATGTCCTCACTTTCTCCCTCCTGGTCCTTGTGGTGCTGGCCGTTTTGGGCACATCACACAAAGTCCATGTCCCATTCTTTACAGCTTAGGTCACTGGCACCATGAAACCAAACAGCCCCATGATCATAAATGAACAATGTAAATTACAGCATGAATATGCTACTGTTTATTTTTTAACCAAGAAATCATTCATATTTCTATATTTATACATAATCTGATGGGTACTTGATGGAATATTGTCTTTAATACTATCATGAGTGTTTTTTCTTGTTTCTCTCCATGATTTCAACATTACTGGCATGTTTTAGCAAATGTTACATATTTCTCAAACTTTTAAATAAAAATTTTCTTTCATTTTGAAAAGCTGAGCTAGACATGGTGGCACATGCCTATAAATGTAACATTCAAGAGGAGGGAACAGGAAGATCAGGAGTTTAAGGCCAGGCTGAGCTGCTCAGTAAAATGAGGACATCCTGGACTATATCAATATCCTACAATGCTGATTTTGTCATATGTGTCCATCTTTCCTATCCCTCTTTCCTTCAGTTAAGCATAGTATTTTTTTTCCTAGCATTTCAAAATGAATTGGAGACACAGATACAGTTAATCCTCAGATGCTTCATCTCTGCAGATGATATCATAGTGCAAAGACTAGCTCCAGACCACCATGAAGGCACATATCTTTTACCCCAACACTCAGGAGAAAGAGGCAGGCAGATCTTTGTGAGATGCAGGCCAGCCTGGTCACATAGCGAGTTCCAAGTCGGCTGGGGCTACGGGGACACCTTGTCTTAAAAAAAAAAAACAAAAACAAAGCCAGCGCCAATATTTCAGAGGACGTAAGGATTCAGATTTACTCTAGATCCTAGATCCATAACCAGGAAATAAGGGGAGCAGGAAGAGGAGAAATTTATTCTCTGGAAGGAGGAGTGTTTTCATGCAAGAAAAGCTACTTCCCACTAAGAGACTACAGGAAGCAGTCACCCTCAAATGTCAGGCTTTGCCCTTTTAGTGTGGGAGGAACAGAAATGGTGTGGCTGGAGCATAAAATGCAGGTTAGGGTAGATGGTATAAACATCACAGGGATGTGGAATCAAAAATAAGTGGATGCCTCCCCTTTAAAAATGGACGGCTTAGCAGAGATCTGCTTCTTGAGTTTCAGCAGGAGTCAGGGAGCTTGAGAAAAGTGTGGAGCTTTACGCCACCCAGGAAGGCAGCAGAAGGAGATTTAGTTTGAGAGACTCAAGAAAAAGCAAGGGGCCTCAGTCAGACTGTGGTAGTGTCCATGGCCTAACTAACTCCATGAACTTTATAGGTGTTAAAGAGCCATGGACAAGATTACCTTGTTGGCAACAAGCTGAGCAAGGCTGATGTTTACCTGGTTGTAATTCTCTACCATGTGGAAGAGCTGGACTCTGGCATTATGGCCAACTTCCCTCTGCTGAAGGTGAGCTATCTCAAGCCCTCAGAAAAGCTATCACGGAGTCCAATATTTGGATCATTAGGCTGATAAGTGTTCTGAATCATCTCCCTCCTGCCTTTATAGCTACCCATCTCCACAGCCATACCTCCAAAATGAGATTTTTAGACCCTGGTTCTGAGACCTGAAGAGAATTTTGTTATTTAACTCAAGAAGTATACTTTTTCTTCTAGAATAGAAAGAATGCAGCACCTAACTCTTGCTCTCCCCATCATGTGTTTGATCCTGGTTTCTATGAGATTGCCCTTATCACAATTCTGCTCTTGTCCACCCATACTAGGTCTATCTGAAGAAGTCTTTTTTCAGGATTCTACATTATCAGACACCGTATTTCTCTCTACAGTGGTCCTCTTCACACGTACTTCCCCTCCCCACCCGACAGCTCCCTCTTTGTGTGTTTGTGTTTATGTGTGTGTGGTATGAATGTGTTCATGTGTGTGCACATGTGTGATTATGCATATGGAGGCCAGAGGTAGAGATAGGATGTCTTCTCTGATTGCATGCCACCTTGTTTTATAAAATATTTATTTTTATGTCGTGAGTGTTTTGCCTGAAGGATGTAAGAGCACCACATGGGCGTATTGCCCACAGAAGTCAGAAAGTCAGAAGAAAGTGTTTGATCTCTTGGAACTGGAGTTACAGATGGTTGTTAGCAACCACGTGGGTGCTGGGAACCAAACTCAGGTCCTCGGCAAGAGCAATAACTGGTCCTTACCGATGAGCCATCTCTCCAGTTCTCAACCTTTTTGTTTGTTTGTTTTTTGTCTTTTCTTTTTTGAGACAGGATCTCTCATGGAATGCAGAGCTCATTGATTTAGCTAAGCTGGCTAGCCAACAAGCTTCAGAGGTTTGCCTATCTCCATCCCTCTGCCCCCATCTCAGTGCTAAGGTAGCGGGCGTGCACCACTGAGCTAGGTTTTATATGGGTGCTGTGGATACAAACTCAGGTCCTTATGCTTGCATAGGCACTTTACCTACCTAGACATCTCCTCAGTCCTCTTGCTGGATTTGTTTGTCTTTGTTTGTGTGGTGCTAAGAATTGAACCTTTTACATAGTAGACAAGCACTGGACTACATCCCTGGCCCCTGACAACCGCCACTTTTGTCTTTCAGTGTGAAAGTTGGTAGTGACTGGACCTAAGTTTTCCTGTTCTATATTTTTCTATTAATATTTCTAACTCCATTTTCCCATATCTTCATTTTATCTATTTGGGTGCTTTCGCATATTGATATGTGAGAAACATGTTGTTCATTCTTAAATTATTGATGAGTCTGAAGGACTACAGTTCAGCGAAGAAGATGGGATGCCTGGGACAGAATGAACTGTTAACGATGTACTGGGGGACACTTCATTTTCTCCCGCTCATCTTCATTCTCACTGAGTATCTGTTTGTAACCCCCACACTGTGCTGATGGTGGGGCTCACTTGGTCTTTGACTGGGAAGGGTTCAGGGTTCTGCAAACAATAGGTTTTTCTTTGGCTGCACGCTGAGGCTCTGATTTGTGTGTTTCAGGCACTGAGAACCAGAGTCAGCAACCTCCCGACGGTGAAGAAGTTTCTAGAGCCTGGTGGCAAGAGGAAGCCTTTCGAAGATGAGAAATGTGTCAAAATAGTAAAGAATATATTCCAGTTAAATTAGGCAGATGTGGATGTGTAGCACCCACAAGACCAACCTCCTGAAGCTTTGCAACAATGACGTGCTTTGTCTAAACAGTCATCTTGCTTATTATGAGGCTGACAGAGTTTTCTAAAGTTCATGTTAATTTAGGTAGAAATGACAGATACAGATTTGTTGGAATGCTGTCCATCTGGTTTGTGTCAAATTTTCTTGAATTTAAATAAAACAGAATAAGCTTTATAGATTCTGATGTATTTAAAAATTGTTGTAAAATTTTTGTCATATTCTTGTCAAAAAGAGTTACGTAGAAATCTTCACCTGATTCTCTGCTTTGTGCAAAATAATCTTTTCCTTTGAGGTTTAGCTACCTTTCTGACCACACACACACACACACACACGCACACACACACACACACACGCAGAGAGAGAGGTTTTCCTTCAATTATTTTTTCTTATTCAATTATGCAACCAATACATTTATGTCCAATATAGACTATTCAGTGCTCCTGAGATGCGTGAGTGATGAATAAATCAGATATAGTCTCCATCTTTATATACTCACTCTAGTAATAATGAATAAAAGAAAAACCTTAGGTAATCTTGGGCTGGAGAGATTGCTAGCAGTTAAGAGCACTTACTGCTCTTAAAGAGGATCTGGATTTGGTTCCTAGCACTCACATCAGGCAGCGCATAACTGCTGTAACTCCATCCAGTTCCAGGAGATCAGGCAGCCTCTTCTGGCCTCCATGAACCGTGTGCACATGGTGCACATAACCTCGGGCAGGTACACACATATATGCATAAGTAATAACTGCTTAAAACAATATAGTTAACCCTAATACAGAATCAGACATTTCATATGTGTCCATTTCTAAGGCTTCTATAACAATGTCCCAGAAACTTTGTGCCTTATCATACTAGAAATTTGTTCTTTCATAGTTCTGGAGATGTATGACTAAAATGGAATCTAGGTGTGAGCTGCAGTAACTTCTCTCTAAAAGCTTTGAGGAAGAATCTTAGCCTCTTCCTAGCATCTGGTGACCAGCCATGTGGGAGTACTTTAGTACATCTGCCTCCATGGTTGCATGACATCCTCTCTCCGTGTATTTATATTTTTCTTATAAGGGCACCAGACATCAGATTATGGGCAATCCTAATCCAATTCACTATGACCTCAACTTGCTTCTATCTGCATATATCATTGTTCCAGATGAGGTCACATTGTCAGGTGTCTACAACCAGGACTGAAACATCCTGCAGAAAAAAGTTACTAGACAACCCCTGATGGGGAACAGTTAATTCTGGGTATACACCTGATCAGAATACCTCTGCTGGACTCTGGGTAAAGCATGGTATAAATTACCTTTCTTGTTGCTATAACAAAAACCCCTCACAAAAGCAACTTAGGAAAGAAAGGGTTTACTTACATTTGAGTCCAGTCCGTTATGGCAGGGATGGCAGGTGTGAGAGCAGCTCTAGCTGTGGCATCAGGCTGTGAGGCAGCTGGTCATCTTCATCCACAGTCAGGAAGCAGACAGAGATGAATGCTGGTGCTCAGCTTGCATTTTCTTTTTATTCAGTCTGGTACCTCAGTCCATGACATGATGCTCCCTGCTTTTAGGGTAGGTCTTCCCTAGGTTAAACTTCTCTGGAGATGTCCTCACACACATACCCAGTGGTTGGTCTCCTAGGTTACTGTAAGTCCGATCAAATTGAAAATAAAGATAAATCATCACAACTGTGATGTAGCTTAACACAAGCTACAGTTAAGGAAGGAGTGGAACTACCACCAGGCAACAGAAGTAGAATCCAGTCAGAAATCTGCACGGTCAGTGTGTAAGGAGAGATGGGCTGAGTGTCACGTTGTGAGTGGAGATAACACACTTGCTCTTGGTGGAACACTAAAGCATGAGGGAGAGAGGAGTGACAGTGAATTACTATCAGGAATCAGGGCCCAGAGCTGGGCAAAGGACCTTGAAGGCCTCAGAAACAAGGTTGAATTTTGTTCTGAGAGACTAGAAAGCTATAGAACTGTTATATGCCTTAATTTCCCAGCATAACATAGGATGAAAAGTACATTTTCAAAATATGTTTTAATTGTTCGAGCCTCCACCTTAGAATGACAGGAACATTTTCCCTACCATGTGTTAGTCAGTTTGTTGTTGCTGTGACAAACCCCCAAGAGAAGCCATTCAAAGTAACAAATGTCTATTTTGGCTCACAGTTTCAAAAGCTTCCTTCACTGGTCAGTTGGCACCATTGTTTTGAGTCTGAAATGAGGCTGAATATCACCATAGAGAGGGCATGTTAAAGACTGCTGTTCAGCTCAGAGCACCTGGAAAGCAGATGTACCATAAAGAGGCCAGGGACAAGATGTATTCTCAAAGGCATGCTCCCTGGCATCCCACCTCCTCTACCTAGACCCTGCCTTCCATAATCCCACGACATCCATCTAATATATTCAAGTTTTGAATCCATACATGGGTTTATCTATTGATTAGGTTAGAACTCTCATTATCCAGTCACCTTTTAATAATTTTGTCTTGGTCGATTACAAAACATGATCCTGAGAATCACTTCACATCTGAACCATGACACACCAGGAGTCTCTTTGAATGTCAAATGTAGGCGGTTATGATAGTAAAGAGTTTATTTGAGCAGCCATTCATGAATTGGGAATCAACAAACCACAAGTGACTTGGGACCTGTAAGGTACTAAATCCTTACTAAGCAGCAGGGTCACTGAAAAGTAATAAAGAAGGTATGCTTCCTGCTGCTTCTTGGTCTCTGACAGGAAGGCCCCTTCAGCTGAGCTGCTTAGAGTCATGCAGCCCTGGATATCCTTGCTTGGAGAGCTTATCAGCCTTCTCTTCTTTGTTTAATTTGGCCAATCCAAAATTAGGGGAGGGGAAGCCACCAAAACCCTTAAAATCCAGATTCTCCCCAGGGTACATTGGAGTTTGGTCTCCGGGTCTTCTCTCCAATTGTGGAGAGCTTCATCTTTCTATATGAATGTGTGTATGCATGTGTGATTCTTTATGTGTATGGATGTGATTCTTTATTTTCAATAAAGTTTGACTGTTTCTCTCCGTTGGTCTGAGTTTTTCCTGCCTTTTAATTCTTTAACAGGCTGAGAAAATGAACCCAACAATACCCCTAGACTGATAACAATGCCAACTGCAACATAGTCAGGGAGCGGAGGTGAGGGAGAAACTACGGAAGGAAAACAAAGAAAATACTCGCTTGGCTAAGGTGGAAATCTTCTGATTAATACTTTGTGGGTTGTGTTCTAGCCAGTGAAGTTCAAATTTTTGTGCTATAAGACCTGCCTGTCTCTTACTCACAGGAGATTTAAGGTGCTGGATCCAGCTCTGTATGCCAGATTCCCAATTAACTGTGTAACACTCATGAAACCCTACGATGGCTTGGCTTACTCTTCTCAGGGAGTCAAGCACCTCAGTGACCAATAGAAAATCTGATTGCTCTGTTGCCTCTGTGCCTAGAGTTACACTTGTCCCATAGACTTCCTGATCTGAGGAGGTTTGACCAAAGTACTGGCCATCTCTTGCCCACCTGAGCAATGAAATTAATGTGCTATAGACTTGGGAAAAGAAGGGAAGGTCTCCTTTAGCTTTGGAATCTTATTATAGAATTGATTGAGTTTCAAAGTCATTTTCCTCTGGCATGCCACAGTTCAGGAGAGATTAGGACAGAACAATTTCTATCTTCAATCATGGATCGCCTATGAGTTGGGCTATGCTAGGGTCTAGGGAATGACTCTGGTGCCTGTTTCAGACTGGTCATTTTCAAAGTGTGAACTCCCCCATAGTTGGTTGTAATAGGGCAGAAAGAGACTTGGGTTTCAGGGTTCATTTTATTTTATTCATTGTTAGGTCAATTGTGCCCAACCAAGAATTCCAAAACACTCCCCAAGAGGATGCCAGGTTCCTTGGAATGTTACAGTCTACTGTTTACCTGGAGAGTCCTCAGGGGACTAAAGTGAGGTCCTTTTCAACATCTTTCCATCAATATACCCTTACTATTTCTTGGGCAGACTATATTTTGAAATGGAAACAAGCCTTTGGAGGCTAGGGGTGGGGGGCTACAGTGTAAATCTGGAGTAATCCACAAAGGATCATGCTTTAAAGTCATGTTATTAAGTTTGGCACTATTAGAAAGTAGTGAAATCCCTAGAGTCAAAGGTGGTTATAAACCACCCAATATGGATGCCTGGAACAGAGCCTGGGTTGTCTGCAAGAGCAGCAAGTGTTTTTAACTACTGAGCCATCTCTGTGGTCCCAGGCCCTGAGATTTTAATAAGAGAAAAACTTATGATTTCAGGGTAGGGAAAGTTATGATACTATTTTGGACACTTTAAGAGTATTACCAGTAGTAAGAGAAGTCTAGAAGTTCATGTTAAAGTTGCTGCCTGTGCAAGTAGCGACACAATTGAGAATTGAAATGTCAAGCTCACAGACTTGGAATCCACAGTGAAGGTGACACACATCTATCTGCATATACAGTTCCAGGTCAACAGGTGCTTCTACAACTTCCACTTCCTGTTGAAAAAGAAGCCACTCAACCCACTAAAGGCAATCTGAAGAGTTGATGGGAGATACAAAGCACTGAGCTCTGCCTTCATAAGAGATGCCTGTGGTTTATTGCCAAGCAGTGATGTCACTGGTTTCCAAGTCTTTCTCTAAAGCTAGTGTGCTCCAAAAGGCAGCAGAACAACCAAGAAGAACTTGTACTTGGAACATGAAAGTAAGTTTAAGTCTGTAGAACTTTTGGACTATGACAAAAATGGCCTGAATTTGCAACGTAAACCAAATTAAGAGAGGTACTTCTTGTGAATTTCTATATTGTCGGTTTAATGGGTATTGATTAATCCCCACCCTTTGCCAGGTTCAATATCTGCCTGGATACTCTGCTTTTCCAATTTTTAATCTGAGTCTGTATCTGCTTGGTAAGACAGGCCAATTTATTAATTCTGTTTACATTCCTAAAAATGGTGTCTGATAATTAGGATTTGTCATGATTTTATTATTTAAATTGCCTTCATTTTTTTTTCATTTCATTCTTCCTTTTTTCTTTATTTTTTTGCTTTGAGTCAGAATCTCAAATACAGCCCTAGCTAGAGAGTCTCTATGTAGCCCTAGTTGGCCTGAAACTAATTATGTAGACCAGACTGGCCTTAAACTCAGAGATCTACCTGCCTCTGCCTCCCGAATATTAGGAATAA